GAAGAACGTCAAAAGAATAAATAAACAAAAAACAAATTTACGATCAGAAATCAAGACATTCAAGTGAAAAAACGCAAATTGTAATAGAAAAATAAACTAACATACTGAGATGGTTTGCGCAGATCCGGAGAGTATGCGATTGCCGCAAAACAAGCCGAACTTTGCCCGATTCCTTGTGCTTCAAAAATTTCACAGTACCAGCGCCTCTCTCCTTCCACTGATTGCCATCTCTATCGAATCGGTAAAGCTTACACTTCCTGAAGAGAAAGTATATATATATAAAATAAAATAAAAAATAAAAAAAAGCAAATCAAATCATAAACCCTAGGGTTTTAAGCAAATTTAAGCATATCACAAGAGCTCCGTGCATGGATCTGAGAAACAAGTAATAAAGAGAATGAGAGAAGAGAGTAGTCTACAGATCAAGCATGGCGTCCTCGTCTTCTTCGCCGGTGGTGACAGCGACCTCTTGGAGTGCGCGATTGGATTTGTTGGTGCTCCGGTGTCTTCATCCTCGCCGGTAGCGGTTTCTTCTTCGTGCACGGGATCGGCCATTATAGAGAGACGGAGTGAGAGTGTCTTTTGAGAGAAGCAGATGATGTTGAACCAGAAACCGAGTGGATTAGAGGGTTTTACAGGGGTTTAAGCACAGCACAGGCGTGACAATTACGCACAAAAGAAAACTTTAAACGTAATTTGTAAAAATTTGTCGGAGTAAAGAAAAAAATAAATTGCAAAAGAGAAGATAAAAATAAATAAAATTGTTACATAAAATATTTGCAATTTTGTTTATTTATTTATTTTTGTAGATATATATTTTTTTTATTGACGAGAAACACACACCTCACTCACACAGAGAATCAATTCCATGATTTTGGTTCCTCATTAGTTCGATTCTGAAACTGGAGCAATTAAGAATTGGAACCGTACTAATAATTATATATATTATTCTTCTACTGTAAACTTTTCAAAAGACTCCGATTATGTTGTAGTAATCCTATTAGAAAATTATTCATGTAAAACCTCTCCATCCAAATCCTAATAGAGGGATATCTATATTTTTATATATACTATTATTAAAAATATAAGAAGTTTCTATCCAATTTTGAGTTTTCACCCTATATTTATTTATTCTTTTTAAAAGAATTTTTAGAAGAGAGTTTCTATATAATTCTATCACATATTTTATATATTTATTATTCAAAATGCACTATGGATTTAGAATCATTAAATAGTATAGACATAAATGTGGCCCAAGGTATTGCTAGGGGAAAAAATTCCTCCCCATTTGCTCTCTCACTGAAGAACGGCAAGTAAGCATCCAACACTGGTGCGTACGGCCACATTTTTAACATAGTTTTGTCATCACCAACTCAATAATGTAAGTAAAAAATTTACTAATTTATACTTTATTTTACCATATATACAAATAATGATTTATACGGTTATATTTTATACGGTTTATTATATTACTATTTAAATTAAAATACTTTTTTTACTTTTTCTCTTCTGTATCAGAATTTTGTTAATATATGGTATATAGTTTATTCTTCTTCTATTTCAAATAATGTAAATGCACAAGAACAAACAAACTGATTTTGAGGTTGTCTCTAAACAATATAAAATACGTTCCAAAATTTGGTTTTACAGATTTTTTTAATGTTAATCAGACCTAATAACCCAAACTTCAAATTCTTTAGATAACCAAAATCACCTATGGGTAACCCAAACTTCAAATTCTTTAGATAACCAAAATCACCTATGGGTTGCCTATAAATAAGATAATAGTTGTTTTACAAAAAAACATAAAAATCAGAGCCTCTCGCTTACAATTGCCAAATGGCCAAAATCTTTTTTCCAAAATAGGTCTGATTTTGTTTCTTTGAAGAGAGAGCTCGTTAATCACAAAGTATCACTTTATGTAATGTGTTATGGATTTGCTTTACGTTTGATCTGATTTTGCTTCTTTCAGACTTAATTTTGATGAGGGGAAGTTCATTTCGTTTGGATGCAAAGCTGACTTTTTGCAGGGAAGGTTTTTTTTTTTTTTTTTTTTTTTTCTTTTTGGGGAAGTTTAATTTTCAACTTTTCTGCCACTTATTTTGTCAAGTGGAACCAGTAAAGTGAAATTAGATTAATTAAATATTGCAATATATATATGTTTATATGAATGAAAGTTGTATGTATAAATTGTGGGACCTATAAAGTGAAAATTTAATCGGCTTTGAAGAATGCATTTTGCTGAAAAGTATTTAAAACAAAAAAAGTTATTTGAAACTCTTTTAATTATTAATATAATTTAACTGACAATTATATCTTACTAAATCATGAATAATAGCAAAGAGTTAAATTGGAATGTACAAAGAAGGGAAGAAAAAAAAAAAACCATAATTAAAGTGATTGAGTGAAATTGCCAATGATGCAGCAACAATTAATTGGCATAGTGAGGATCCAGTATACAAATTTTACCCAACCCAATCTACATGCTAGAAGTTTTTTTTTTATTTTATTTAATTTCCTTGACTACATGATAGAAGTTGAAAGAGATGAAAAAAGAAAATGAAAAAAAAAAATAAAACAGAGATGGTAGCAAAAATATCCCATTTTTATTTTTATTTATAATTATAAATCACTTTAACAATGGAACAGGTAGCCTTCAAAAAAGAATATATATATATATATATATATATATATATATATTGAGAGAAAGAAAAGTTATTTAGAATTCTACATAGAGTTAATTTTGGATGAAAGTTCATAAATCTTGAACTCTTCAGACTTTGAAGTCAACTAGGAGTCAATAGTAATTTTTGCTGGCAACTCCTCAATCTCTTTGTTCTTCTTTGTTGAATCTTTTTTCAACAATATTTTTTTCAATAAAGTTCTGTGAAATTTTGCTCAACATTATTTTTTAATTTTTTTTTGGATAGAAAGAGAAAGATAAAAGTTTGCAATGAAATTAAAAAATGGAAATAGGTTAAATAATGAACAATATAGGAATTTTATATTTATTACTTAAAAAATTGTGTATCTTGCGGAAAGTCGATCATGAAGTATGTTTTATTTAGGGATGGCAACGGGGCGGGTTTGGAGCGGGTTTTCCTAAATCCCGTCCCGCCCTTTTTAATTTTTGTCAAGTCCATGCCCGCCCCGAGACCCGCGACGGGTTAGATTTTCATGTCCAGCCCCGCTCCGTTGGGAAATACTGTGCCCCGTGCCCGCCCAGTTGACAAATTTTTTTCTCCCACGTTTTGGAACTTAAGCTCGTGCTATTTAAATGTGGAAAGCCTGTGAATGGCACAACATAAATGAAATTATGTATCCCAACAAAAATAAAAACCAAATCACAAAAAGTTCTAAACTTCAACTTCCACCATAACCAAAACAAAAACAAATTTAATACCAAGTTTACATCCCAAATTAGGATGTAAGAGATGGGCAACTCGGTAAGCTGCTAAAATAAGTTATTAATATTATATATATATATATATATATATATATATATATATATATATATATAATATAGTTATATGCTTAGCGGGGTGGGGCGGGGCGGGGCGGGGCGGGGCGAGGCCCCTATGATATGTGTACTAAACCCTTACCCGCCCCGTGACCCACAACGGGTACAAAATTTGTGTCCATGTCCGCCCCAACGGTATAAAAAATGTTCCCATATCCATTATTAATGGGGCGGGACGGGGTGGAGCCCCGGCGGGGCGGTAAAAATTGACATCCCTAGTTTTATTGGTTTTAGACTTTTTAAAAATCCGTTTTTAAAAAAATTAATAAACTCTCTATTATTGGCGAATGACTTTCTGGGCTTAGAAGCCCGTTTTGAAGCCACGGGACGCCTAGCCAAATGGGCCCATACGTTTTATACAGAAGTTGTATGTATAAATTGTGGGACCCATAAAGTGAAAATTAAATTCATTAAATATTGCAATATATATATATATATATATATATATATATATATATATATACTGAAGCTGTAAATATAAATTGATAGCTTAATACGAATTTAGCTCAAAGTGCTGTATATATAAATTGATAGCTTAATACGAATTTAGCTCAAAGTGCCAAGTCAGTTTTTTTACCTCACTGGACCAATCCAGCGACTGGTAAATGGAGAGGATTTTTTTCCGCTAGGGGAGGACCGGGGAATCGGTTCGGTTCTGTTTTAATTTCATGTCTCAATGATTCTGGTTTTAATTTCTAGGAACCGTTGAAAACGGTTTTGGTTCGGCCATGAAACATATCGAACCGAACCATGTGCAATCCTATAGGAGATACCGCTAGGTCACAAAGTTCTCGGTTATTTTCAACAAAAATTTTCTTAGCAAATATTTCGTAGTGTAACACATTGAAAATTTATATATGTCCAAATAAAATCATTATCATCCTAAAAAGAAAATTACAAAAAATGATGTAAACAGCATCAAATAATTATAATTCATTCTTGAATTTAACAATTATGTGAAATTCATTTCTTCGTCGAGGTTTCAAGAGCATCATTTTACTCTCATTTTCGCTTTCTTCTGTATTACAGTTAAATTGCTAAAAAGTGCTCATGTATTTCTAGTGCATATGTTTGTTGGACGCATATAGTCTTTACAACACACAATGATAATTAGAAATCATAAAAACAAAAAACTAATTAAACCCTACAAAAACCCAATAAACAAAAATATGGAAGATCAAACAAAATTATTAAGAACACATTTTTTTTAAGAGATCCTTAACCTGAAAACAAGGTTATGCTTAATGGCAAAATGGAATTTCCATATAGAGTTTCAATAACTCAGTTGTTTATCACCCCGGGGTGGATGATTTATACTTTGAGAAGCCAACTTTTATATATATATATATATATATATATATTTCTTTGGCAAGAAACTCACAAACCCATTTGCGGTTTGTCCCTAGGATCGACCGTATGGTCAGCTGACCATTCTCTCCCCTACTTCAAGTTATGAAATGAGAACCACCACCACCACAAGCATTCAGAACACCACCATTATATTTGTTGAAAAGCTTCTAATGAGGTGAAAACTAATGCATATCTTTTTGTTTCCCACAGCTTGAACTATTGAAGCATTATAACGCAAAAAGATATGCATCTGTGCATAAACTAACATCATCCACAATAGAGCAAAATGCCTCCACCAGGCTCAATGTCAGATCACTCTCCCTTCATAACTTAAGCTGCAATCAGCCGACATAAAGGACTGAAAAACAAAAAATTCTCATTCTTTAGATGCAACGCCATTAGATGCTTCATCCATAGGCTCGGTTTCTGCTGGATCATCCATTTTCTCACCTTTCTTACCTGCAAACAGAGGACGCCACAATCTCAATTTTTCATGTGTAGTGTTCATTGAAAAGACACTGGTCGTCTACTTCATCTACCCTGGGAATTTTCTTACCAATTTCCCACAAAACAGATCAATCTACGACAGACCCGATTTATATGCTATAGAGAAAAGGAAAGACTGTTTCTACAAATTATTCGTGGAAAGTTGCTATATACACGCACCTTTCTTCTTCTTCCCACCACCTTTCTTCTTAGTCTTTATGCCAAGGGCGAGCCAGGCTTTGACCTCGGCGTCATCATCTATCGTCTTTGTGGGCTTCAGCTCCTGCAGAGGATGGGCTGTGATCCTATCCGATCCATTAGGCATTAAAAGAACTGTGAATTTTATGTGAGCAACCAAATCACCTGCACAACAGCCAAACAAATAGTTTAAAGAATGACTGAGTTAATTGATAAATTAAACAGGCCAAGCAAATTAGGTCAGTCATCAGAGGTAGTTCAACGGAGGAACAGAAGCAAGAGAGAAGGTACATCAAAGATTGTATAGAGAGCGTTTCATATTAAGTACTTAACTAAATATTTGGTTCTTAACAAAATATGATTTTTGTGTTAACTAAAAATTTGGTTCTTAACAAAATATGATTGTGTTATGGACATTAGTAGGGAGAGTTTTCAGGATAAATTTCCAGTGTCCGTTTCATCACATTGAATACAGAGTTTTGAAAGCACAACAAAAATATGCACTCGCCGCTTCCAAGTCAAAGGATTTGTCATTGAGTTAACAATGGACACTTACCAGGTTTCTCATGAAGAACAGGGTATGGCTGCAAAAGATCATGGTTAACACATTCGACTAATCCCAGCCGAGCCCTTTTCTCTTCCAAAGCCCTATAAGAGGGGCAAATCAAATGATACCACGCCAACTAGGAAAACAATCCTGATATAATTAATCTAAGAGAGTTGAAATAAGATGACAAAGATGGCAAACCTTGCCGAAAATGGCATGATGGGGAATTTCTGACTAATTTCGCTGAAGATAAACCTTGACGCCTTCATCTTCAAATGATAGTTCTTGTCCACGGCTCTTTTGTAAACAGTTGTTTGTCGCTCATCCAATAACTTAGGCTGCAAATGATTTTTCCCCAAAAAACATACAGATCCATAAGATTTTGCACAGTGCAATTATAAAATGATATATGATTCTAAAATAGGTCGACACTTACTTTTCCATCACCTGTGCTGGTGACTATGTCAATTGCATAAACTTCATTCTCCTCAAATTCTGCATCGTCAACTCTAGTTTCAGGATTGGATACACTCAGTACAACCTTATTACCATCAATCACAAACTGCTTTAGCTGATGACTCAGAACGCCCTCAACAATCTTGCAGTCATAGGCAGCAGCAACCTTCTGAATGGCATCTGTGACATCCTTGTTCTGCAATACCACGAGGAACTCAGTAAACAAGCCAAGAAAATGACCAAAAGAGCATTAAGCATTGATTACAATAGATAATTATACAAAAAGAATTAACAACAAATACAACTATACTACACAATTGGACAGAAGGAAGACTGACATATGTTGTGTGCATATCCCATTGAAGAGAATAGCGTTGACTGTCAGCTACAGTTGGCAGAGTTAAAAGGCTGAGATGACAAGCAATTCAATTTTACGCTTCTTTCTTTCTTATTTTTCTTCCCTCTAAATTTTTTTTTTTTTTTGACATGGCTCTACAAGTGTCTTTCACACATCAGAGACCATGAAGAGCTCATTTACTAAAGTGAATCACATACTTCAGGAAGGCCAGAGTGAAATGACAGATTTAAACCCTTTAAAAGCATTGAAGTTGTATGTGTCATGAGCAGAAATTCTTCAACACGGGGGAAGTTAGAAGATCTTTTTTTAAAATAAAAAAAACTTTAAAAGAAAGAAAGAGATGGGAGGGGGGGAAGAAGAGAAAATAAACCAAAAGTTAGAATTAACCATACATAAACTGAAAAACTATAAACAACCAAAAGCCCCCAACTGCAGCTAATTTTATCAGGGAAAAGAGAAAAGACTGCATTGATTTTGACTTTGTGGAGTTTCTTCTTTTCATTCAAAACGAAGTGCCATGAGCCACATACCACCATTTTCTTAGTTTTTCTATCTCATACTTAGTTGAAATGAATGATTATATGTCATACAAATTTCACCTCCCTCCCAGAATCAAAAAACAGCAGGGTCACACTTTATGCAAACTTGAGACAACTGTTATTAGTATCTTATCCTTATGATGAAGGAACATCACTTATGCTATAAACAATAACTACACCAGACGATAGGTATCAGATACCGACACAACATCAAGTGTATACGGGTATAGAGTTCTCTGGTAGTGCGGTCTAATATTGGACCACAGGCTCACAACAGGGAGATTGTGAACCATATATATATATATATAAAAGAAAAAAAAAAAAAAGGGAGAGCAATGCAAATGCTGGCAACAAGGAAAAGAGGGAACTAATAAGTTATTAATCAATGATCATTAAATCAAAAGTTGACAGTCTAGATATTTAGCACCTCTAATGTGGCACCCAGTTATCCCGATCATTGTTTAAATTGTGGTATAAGTTCCGGTTGCAGTCGCGTACATTGTGAAACATCCCTGTGTCTATTAGTCAATGAGAAATGGTGATTGAAGCCATTAATTTATTATCATCATTAGCAACAGAACACTGATTTCCCATCTCGTACTGTTAATAGTTTTCAATAAAATATATGACATATAAGGACATGATTGGTATAAAGATATTGAATCAAATATTGGTTGCTGAGTCAACATTAGTAAAAGGAAAAAAAGAAAAGTCACCATAAGTAAAGATTACTTTCTATGTTTTCCTTCTTTGGTAATTGGTTTCCAAGTCAATATTACTAAGAATTACTTTCTATCATTCACTTATTCATCAGTTTTGATGACTAAAATCACAACTAATATTGTGAAGTAATCAGTATAATCAAATATATGTTCATGGTGCTCTTTGAATATGATATGATGTCCCGTCTCTAACAAAGAGATGCAGTTTTTGCACTTTTTTGGCCAAAGATTTAAATTTATATGTTACTTCATTAAACTCTAAAAGCACCAATTCTACTACATAAATTATGCTTCCTAACTTCTAAATTGAAAATAGGTGAAAAGAAGAGAAGAATGACGTATAGAAGTGTTCTTCCTATGAATGCTTCCTAACTGCTATACGGAATGATGGTGTCTATGACGTAGTAATGGACCATAACAAGTTATGCAGACTGAGATGGCCAATAACGCTACATACAACTGTAATTTCAACCCCACTAATATATCAGTCTAAAATGGTAATGAAAGCTATGGAAACCATTGTACCTTTACATAACGGTATAACATAATGATATCAACCAATTTTTAACACCATAATCCCATAATCCTAACTGCTTCATTCAAAATGATATGTCAAATTGGCCCCTAGTAACCTTAATAGAGATTATTACAATATATATTCCACCTAACCATGTATCTCATGATCTAAAGAAGAATATAAACATGGTAGATTTTATTTACTCTGTACCTATTTATAGTCAATAACTGAAAAGCACTTGAAAATGAACCGCCATCAAACATATTGTTCGCTTGATAACGGAAACCATAATGAAATCCTGACCCAGAATTGTTCATCAAATATTATCAGGCAAGCGAAAGAATCCAATATAAATCCAGGTTGAAGAGCCTACTTCTCAGAGAAACTGGAAATGTGTTCCATCAAAAAGACTTGGAACGGAAGGTATGATGTTTGGTCAGTGTAGGTATGACAACATGGAGCTTAGCTAGAACTTGCTCCATAGTTCATGATTTATTATTTAGAGAAACCATGTACATCATACTACATCAGTGTAGAAGCTACAGCAATTTTAACAAGAATTTCCAAGCCATGTATCAATGCAGATATGTGTCTCAACTCTCAACAAGACTAAAGCCTGAAGCTGAGCTTTTTTCTCTAAAGGGGAAAGAAAATAATATTGGCTTTTGAAGGCTGATAAAGAAAGAAAATCATTCAGTTGACTTACAAATTTGCTTTTTTGGCATCCATAAGACGTCAGTGGAACAGGGAGAAAAGGATAAAACAGACACGATTTATCAAAGAATCAGACAATACCATAAGAGAATAAATGAATAAAAACATACACCATAACAAATTTGGTCATTAGTTAGCTTTAGTACGTGGTGTTAATAATGAACAAAACTGATACATAATGCCTAAAGCATATAACCAATTAGCTGTGGGCCCACAGACCAAGTGAAGAATGTCGACTTTTGCAATCAAATTGGTACTTTTGCTGTAAAATCATAAATGCACAGTATCAATAAGTATTGGGCAACACCATAGCCGTTAAAGGTGCGCCCCAAGTGCGCCTCAGGGTTCAACAGCTGCAGGCGAGGCAAATTCCATTGGGCGCCCCCCTATTACACAAGCTCACCAACCACAAGGCACAGTAAAGGCGCACCTGATTGAAATTTGTTTATTTATTTATTCCTTTGCTTGTTCAATTGTTATTGCCTATTGGTGCTCATCTTAAGTTACCTAGACCCTACCACATGCTGTATCTGAGAGTAAAGAAAGTAAAATCTCATCTCTCAATCAGTCGACAATTTAGGGCTATCTCTCTAGTGTGCCAGTGCAATTGCGATGCAACAATCCACCCTATCTGGTATGCTCTCTCTCTCTCTCTCTCTCTCTTCAGTCACGATTCTTCTTCTTCCCAGTCAGTTGACAATTTAGGGCTTCTATTCCCCCCCACCCCCATCCCCACCATTCTCTCTCCCCTCTTCTTCTTCTTCTTCTCAGTCGGTTAACGTTGGTCGGGGGCTCTTTTACCTTGGAAAATAATACAATTTAGGGCTTTTTTTTTCCTCCTCCCCTTATTTAGCAGCTTCTCTCTTCTCTGGATTTTTGTTTTAATTACTGTTAATTGCCATGTTATTGCTGTTAATTTCCATGCTATTGCTGAATTTGTTGTTGATTGCCATGCTTTTTTTTTTTCCTCTGTTGATTGCCACATTATTGCTGTCTTTTTTTAAACATGTTTTGTGTAACATGCGCCTCACTTCAGTCAGTGCGCCTTGCGCCTCAGGCTCCAAGAGACCTTGTCGCCTTAGTGCACCTTGAGCCTTTAAAATCTATGGCCAACACGAGGTATAAAATCTATTGTTTCATTAGCATTACGTCTCAATTTTATAATCGTGAGATGCAGAATCTACTTGTAACAAAGATACCATCTGAAATGGTCCATTTTTGGCAAATGAATTCAGTGCCTAATATATCTTGGATGCCCAAGGAATATTGTAAATAAGCTAATGCATAAATACTTTATTTCAGATGGTAAGTCAAATATATCATTACCTTCTTTCCAGGCCTTACAAGCCTCAAAGCAACTTCAGCGGCTGTATTAGCTGCTGCAATTACATCAGCTGTCCTGCCTGTCACTGGCCCTTCATGAAGCACGTGAGTGTGTGCCACGACAGCAATGAATCCATCAATGTGACACCCCATATCACTGCACCAAACATGAATAACGACATCTTAAATTAAACCTTTTTCATTGGTGGCAATATTCGCACACCATGAAAAGCTGTACCAACCACGAATAACGACATCTTAAATTATACCTTTCATTGGAGGCAATATTCACACACCATGAAAAGCTTCCTGTACTCCACTCCTGATATGTAATATCTCTGGTAATGTATTCAGGAGTGCAGGAGGCTTTTTTCGGGGTGCAAATACCGCTTTCCTTTTATTCTTCTCACGGTATTAAATAACAAAATGAATCCAATACAAAGCACACAGCAGATTAATTTAACCATAACTTACATCTTCAACATATCACCTTCCTCTAGTATTGTTTCATCACTGGCCAGGGGAGAGAAGTGACATACAGTGTTGTTCACAGAAATGCAAGTAGGAAATGCTACGCCCCTCTCGATCTTCTTTTTGACATTCTTGTACATGTTCCCAGTTTGTCTGTAACCACAACCACATGCTTAATTAATATCAATGCATATATACACATTCTCGGTGCTCACAGTTTTCAAAAGGCATCTACACAATTGGGAGGCATCTCCTATTAATATCTCACCCCATTAATTAGTGCTAGAAACAAAACACACCCACAGCAAAGATTTACATACATAAACCTATAAACACCTTAACATTAACAAATTTAAAATTCAGACAAACAGAGAAGATCATACTCTCTGATAAAAGCATCGCCTTTCTCACAAATGTCAACAATCTTCGCTTTCGGTTTGCATTCTGACAACACCAACTGCAAAGCCTCTGCAAAATTATCACCCAAACTGATAAAAATTTTGTTTTCAAGAGCAACTTTTATCACTTCCAGCAAAGAACAAAATCAATGAAAATGAAAGCAAATTTTGCAGCGAATCTCAATATTTCCAAATAAAAAATGTGCGCATGTGTGATATATATATATATATATATATATATATAGACAGATAGAGAGAGAGATAGAGTAACTGTTAACGATTTCAGCAGCACTCTTGTACTTGGTGACGACCTCAGGGCTGGTGAGATCCAACTCTTTCTCCTCCCTCTCGTCGTCCGACATAGCTAACGATATGCTTTGAATTTCTAAACCAACAAAGAAAAAAAAATGAAATCAGAAAACAAAGCGAAGAATAACAACAAAAACATGGGAAGTGATTTGTATAAAGAACTCACAGAAACGGGAAAATTGGAGAGAAAATTTCAAAGGTAGAGATGAGCTAGGGTTTTAATGGGGCTAAAGAGATGAAGATAGATGAGTGTGTATGTATATATAGACACTTGAGTCAGAGGATTTGGACAACTGAGTGTTTACCAAAATTAGGGCTTTTTATGGCCTTAGTCGGTTCTGGAGTCAGCATGTACGTGGAGCATGCTTGCGGCGCGGTGTCTAAAATTGTCATTTTAGTGAAAGTTTGCTGACGTCATATAACATAGAAAGCAAGGGATTGATCAAAAACATGAAATGATGCATTTTGCTGAAATTGAGGATACAAAGATGTCATATTGATGTAATGCGTAATTGTTTAAATTGAGGATACAACACAATATGTCATGTACTATCGATGTAACTAAGGTTTTTTTTTTTTTTTTGGATCCATAGCATTGAAAAAAAAAAAATTTGGGGAGGAATAGTCACATTTCAATAATGAGGAGAGATTAAAATTATGAAAAAGAGAATTGAGTTGTATCCCGAATAACATGGAAAAAAAAGTATAATAATGGGTGATGGGATTAAATGAAATTGAAGACTTGTTATTTGAGTAATATAATCGAGATTTTGAATCATTTATATATATATACCTGTATGGTAAAATTTTTATTTTTATTTATATATACACACATATAGCATTCTTTGAACTCGTGAATAAAATGTTAATTGAGATATTAGCAGAAGATAGTGTAGGTGATTAATTTTGATCATATCTAATGTGCCTGTTTAATAACTCAATATAGGGATTAATTCATTTCAATTTAGTGTTTTTGAAAACGCAATTTAAATATTGAAGTGTCAACTTAAAATAAGATAAAATTTTAAATGACAGTAACATCACTTATCAAGAAAAATTGGAAATTTAAAAATATATAATTTTTTTTTAATTAATACTTAAAAATTTCAACTCTTAAATTTCTTATACTTAATTTTCAATTACATCAAACATCACCAAGTTAGATTTTTCTTAAATTCTTTGTTCTGGTTCATAATAATTTGTAAAATTTTTAATGTAATCTAGTCCCAGCTATATGGATATAAGTCGTATGACTACCAATCAATATACAACTAAATTGTAGAGGGGTAAAATAGGTTCTTTCACATTAAAAGTGGTGGACTGTCAATATATTGGGCTCGATTCATGATCTGCTCATTTCAGCTCATTCTCATTGGGCTGCTTTTGCCAGCCTAAAGCTATGGGGCCTGGTTTATAATTCAAATCCCATCTCAGCTGAACCTTTGGGCCATTCCCTTAAATTTGCAACAATGAACTAAACTGGTATTGTTGTAGCCTAGTTAGGCAAGGCCATTTTATTATTATTATTTTTTATTTTTTTTTATTATTATTTTTTAAAGGTAAAATTAAGAATAAATTAAAAAGTATTTACAAAAGCCTGAGGGAGGATAGAGCAGGTAATACAAAGCAACCCAGCCCATATTAAGAGTAAACAAGCCCATATAAGCTAGCCCATCCCAATAACGAGCACCATCTTAAACAAACAACTCATGACCGTTAGTCCCAATTCCGGTGAAGCAAGTAGAATATAATGATGCGTTTAGTTTGCAATGGAATGGAATACCCATTATAATCATTCATTTGTTTGGTATGCAATTTAAAGTGAGAATGACTATTCTATTGGAATAAAAATTTATTTATGGGAATGAAAATCCATTCAACAACTAAACCTATGGAATGACCACTCCATTCACAAGAATTTTTTATTAAAAAAATTAGCTTCTCAAAAAACCTTTATGAAGTCCAAAAATCACCACTACTTTCTATTACAATCACCTTCGCCTTTCACCACCATCGCCTTCCACCACCGCCACCACCACTACCACCGATTTTCACCATCGCCCACCGTTTTCCACCACCACCGCCGCCACCCCCTTTTACCACCGCCGCCATCTTTCTTTGTTGCAACCACCACCACTGCTTTTCACCACCGCTACCACCACCACCTTTCACCACTGCCACCACATTCCACCACCGTCACCATCACCACCTTTCACCATAACCATCGCCTTCTATCGCCACTACCTTACATTACCACCACCACCACCCTTCCACCACCGCTGCCATCATTGCCTTCCACCACCATCACCGCCGCAGCCGCCGCCGCCGCCGCCTTCTACCACCACTGCCACTGCCTTCCACCATCTTCCATCACCACCACCACCACTACCTTCTTCACCACCTTCCACCACCACTGCCACCTCCACTGCCTTCCACCACTACTATAGTCACTTCCACTGGCTTCCACTACCGTCACATACACCTCTATTTCTTTCCACCACAACCACCATACTACTGCCACTGCCTTCCGCCAACACCACTGCCGCCTTCCGCCAACACCACTGCTGCCTTCTTCCACCATTGCCACCACCGCTGCCTTCTAACACCAGCACCACGGCCACTGCCACCATTTATTTTTTTAAAAATTATTAGAAAATGTCATTTTGTTAATTTAATTTAGGGTTGATTACAATGACACCCCCTGAGATTTATCATAATGACAGCCATATATAAGTTGGGCTTTTTTTGAACAATAACAACCCCTCAAGTTTAATAAAGTTAACAAAGACACCCCAACTATCACTTGCCACCTCTGCCACTTAAAGAATTTACATTGTTGCCCTTTTGAATTATCAATTAACTCATTTAAATAATAAAATTACCCTTCTAACTTTGTATAGTAAAAAAATAAAAACAAAACCTAAAAATTTCCCTTCTCCTCCATACCATCCATTACCACCACCTCTATCACCACTACCATCACCACCACTTCACTATTCAAAATCCAAATCTTCAACACACACACACACACACACACACACACACACACACACCATCAGTTTCAAACACCATATCTTCAATATATATATATATAAGGTCCTAGACTTTGACGATGGGCAAGGTGGAGGTGGAGGTGGCATCAACACCACCACAACCTTCATCCTAAGCATGAGAATGATCCAAATTAAGAAGAATGTGGCCATCACAGGGATGGGCCTCTTGTCTCCCTCTTTGGCAACAACGACCCAAATTGATACGTCCAAATTCCCACCCGATTCAGTGGCCAGATTCGAGGGTTCAACAAAGCGGATTTTTGGTGGTGGCGGCCAGATCTGAGGGTTCAACGACGCGAATTTTTGGTGGCGGCGGCGGCGGCGACCAGATCTGAGGGTGTGGCGGGGGCCAGATCTGAGGGTTCAACAACGCGTATTTTTGGTGGTGGCGACGGCTAGACTTGAGAGTTCAACAACGACGGATTTTTTGGTGGTGGCGGCGGCGGGATCCAAGGGTTCAACAACGACGAATTTTTTGGTGGTGGCAGCAGCAACAACGGTGGTGTGGGATTTAGGGGTGGAGAGATTTAGGTATTTGGTGGTGGGTTTAATGGAGGGAGCATGGGTTGGGTTTGTTAGGGTTAGGGTTTGAGAGATTATGGTTAGAGAAGGTGAGAGGTTAGAGGTGGTGACATATACTGATAATATACCAAGGGCAAAAATGTCATTTAGGAGTTTTGATTATTTTTTAATTTAAATTAATAAAATATTGAAGGGCAATCTTGACTTTTCACACCTCTTAAGGGCCTGTTTGGATGCAATTTCTGACAGGGAGTGTCATTGTTCAAAAAAAGTCCAACTTATATATGACTGTTATTATGACAAATCTCAGGGGGTGTCATTGTAATTAACCCTTTAATTTATATGTTACTAAGAATGATATTTTGGTGAATTCAGTTTGAAATTTATTTCATTCTAAATTTTAAATTGGTCCATCCAAACACTAGAATGATTATTATTATTTCATTCTTACACATTTCATATTTACAACGAAACAATAGAATGAGAATGGTCATTTTATTCCATTCCATTCTCACTTGCATTCCATTCTATTCCTACACACCAAATACAGCATAAGTGAGAGATTCACTATTATCTAATCCCGTGGCCGTGGAGGAGGATGCAAGATGGAGCAAGGGATGTCCCATTCATTGACGATTCGCCTATTGATTGAAAAATCAACCAGACATCAATTTCAATCTGATTGTTTCAATCATTCGGTAAAGTAGTGAATTTGCTGAAATTTTTTCTTCTTGAAGATTTGGCAATTGCGTTCTGCCCAAATATTGTATACGAGTGAGGAAAATGTCAGGCGAGATACAGAAGCACTGCAATTCGAGGCGTCCTTCCAATGGTGTGATGCCCTTGCAACCAATTCATTATTTTATGGTGTCACAATTTGTCTTGACGTAGTGCGTTACACTAGTGACACAGGACCAGAGGAAAAAGCGATCCCAATCCCTCGAGACAAACATGATCATATCCCCATCGGATGAGGAAGGAGAGACATTTTCCGAGAGTTTGAGCTTCTGATTACACGCGAGGCCATCTATTAGATCTTGGCATGAAAGCCATCATAGTATCACACCTTCATGCAGGGTCAATTGTTTACTCATGTAACCAGCTAACATGTGGTCACATGAAGAGAGCAATTATATACCTGATTCAAAGATTTACATCAAATGTGGGCATGTCATGGGTTTAAGAACAGGATGTTCATATGATTCAAAATTTTTTATCTATGTCTATGTCAGAAAAACAGCCTTACAGGTTGTGCAAACAGAATTAAATTAGAGTGCGTATGTGATCCTTGTTCTTCAAGATAGTAAAAGACGAGTTGAGATGTTTCGCTCTATAACATCTTGTGATTCGTTCAATGCGGTACAACACGACAACATAGAATTCCAACTCATAAAAAATACCATCAAAATTCAAAATAAAAATAATAATAATAAGAATAAGAATAATAAGAAGAAAGAAAGAAATAAAGTAAATTTATGGGAATGTGAGTTGAAACATAAGGTGATAGTGGAGAGCCAAGCTGTTGTGTTACCAAACATGCCCCAACCTTAAAAAATACAAATGAAAAAAAGCAAAAACCTTTAAAAAACGAAAAAGATTAAAAAATATTAGATGTGCACTGTGATACTCCTTGTAACTTATTTTGGATTATTGTTGATCCTACAAGAAGCCCCGCCTCAAAATGATATACAAAAATCAATGCCGACAAGGTACGGAATGCATCTGGAGTGCCTATTGTCGGTCTGATTGGCCTAATCTGTCGGTATGGAAGACATCTACAGGATTGTAATCTCAATCAGAATCATATCTCAATTATAATCACATATGTGTGTGTAATATATTGATTTTAGTAGGTGTAACAGACTAACATGTTTTGTGACAACTTAACATATACTCTCGATTTATGGTGTGCAACATGCATCATAATTTTTGAAGATGCAATACAATTATTTTGAAAGTATCAACACAATTATATCAAAGTTGCAACGCATATTCTGAACATGAACACAATTAAACGAAAATGTAAGACGGACTTTCATTTTATTCATCTATTATTTGTGTTGCTTTATCAAAATATTACTCTGCACTATAGAATAAAGTGTGTTGTGCGGATACACCAGCGTGTTTGATTCTAACATAATGGTGAGGTTTGCATTGAGAAAGATGAATGAGAAGATTTTTATTTTTTATTTTACTCAATTTGGGTGAAATAATAAATTTGAGTGAAATTTCTGATATTGACCAACTTAATTAATAATGGGTTATGTTTATGCAAGAATTCTCACATCTGAAAATGCTATTTTAGCATTTACACACAACATCAGTTGATAACGCAATATTGTGTTTCTCATTTGATCAATGTTCAAACCTTAATTTCAAAAGAAATTTCCAAGCTTATGTTGTTTTTTCATACAAAGGTTTTAAAAAAAATTAAATAAAATCGATTGTCAAATGTGTGAATAGAGTTTGAGCTATAGCCCACACTGTTAATTAGTGATGTCACAATAAGTAAAAACTTTTAGTAGTAAATTAACTATAGAAAAAATAATCAATTCATGACTAACAAATGATTGCTTGATGGTTGATACATTTAAATTTTCTAACCAGAAAGTAATTTTATGATTGGAAAATGAATTTAACATCGAGGAGTATGAGCAAAATTTTACATCTTTATATCTTGCATCAATAACCAAACAAATGTATTCGGTCAAAAAATTCTGCATAACTCTTCAAATATCACTACATGGAATGATTAGTTAAAAACTCGTTAGGTCGTTACACTTTATTTTATATTTATTTATTTAAAATTCGGAACTTTTCGCCTTTTCTATGAATTGAAGATGTTATATCACCAAAGCCAATACTTAAAGGTCGCATAACATAATTTTAATCTCAAACAAAATTGAAAACTTGTAAGAGTACCTAGAATGAGAAAGCCTCCACCAAATGCATTCATGAGAATTTTCTACTAAGGAACCTACACCAACATTGGTAAAGCAAAGATGGAAGTACTTTGCGTTGGACAATTACTCAACTTACCGTGTGGAATTTTCTACCTCTATACATACATACATACATACATACATATATATATATATAGATCATCATGATGAACAATTTTCATGCAACCATACCATTTCACAAGCAAACATTGAATTGTCACATGCAAAGTTTGAAGTCTGATATAAAATGTAAATAATGTCTATAATAAGGTTAAAATAATATTCAATTCTTGTAATTTTTGAAGATGCAGTACAATAATTTTGAAAGTATAACACAATTATATTCAAGTTGCAACACATATTCTGAACATGAATATAATTAAATGAAAATGCAAGACCGACGTTCATTTCATTCATCCATTATTTGTGTTGTATTATCGAAATATTGCATTGTACAACAGAATAAAATGTGTTGTGTGAATACACCGCGCGTGTAGCAAAATATAATATTAAAGCAAGAACACTAAAGCAAGTATAGCAGGGGATTCGATTCCAAGGTAATGGTGGGGTTTGCATTGAGAAGGATGAATGAGAAGGATGAATGAGAAGATGAATTTTTGTTTTTTACTCAATTTGAAATTTGAGTGAAAATTCTCATATAACCAACTTAATTAATAATGGGTTATGTTTGTTATCCAATATCCAAGAATTCTCTCATCTGAAAATGCTATTTAAGCATTCACACACAATATCAGTTAATAACGCAATATTGTGTTTCTCATTTGATCAATGTTCAAACCTTAATTTTATTTATTTAAAAACTAAATAAATAAAATCGATTGTCAAATGTGTGAATAGAGTTTGAGCTATAGCCCACACTGTTAATTAATGATGTCACAATAAGTAAAAACTTTTACTATTAAATTAACTATTGAAAAATAATTAATACATAACTAACAAATGATTGCTTGATGGTTGATACATTTGAACATTATTATTATTGTTATTATTATTTTTTGATAAGAAGTAATTTTATTACAGCAAAATAATTTTAAAGTTAGAACATTTTGGACAAAATTCTTTAACCAAATATTTTTAATTGGTTAATGTATGACTAATATAAAAATATAAAACTCTTCACCTCTTTATCTCTTGCATCAATAATTAACTCTTCCAACTCAAATATTAATATTCCAAATGATTACGTAAACAACTAGAGCACAACTACACTTTAATATTTATTTATTTATTTATTTTTATGAATTGAAGATGTTATATCACCTAAACCAATACTTAGGTTGCATAACATAATTTTCACCTCAGACAAAATTCAAACCTGTAAAGAGTACCAACTAAGGAACCTTCACCAACGTACTCTGCGTTGGACAATTACTCAACTTACCGTGTGGAATTTTCTACCATGATTGGTAAATATATATATATATATATATATACACACATATATAGATCATCACGATGAGCAATTTTCATGCCACCATACCATTTCACAAGCAAACATTGAATTGTCACATGCAAAGTTTGAAGTCTGATATAAAACGTAAATAATGTATATAATAAGATTAAAATACAAAGTGTTACTGTGACATACAATAAAAATAATGATAAAACAAGTACAACAGTTGTAAAGTCTTTTGGACACTTATCCACTGTCCAATCCCTCTCTTGCGACCCATACGGACAGCTCGAACCAGCTTCCACCCCTCCCCAACCACCCATATTAGACTCATCACTGCCGCCACCACCGAAATCAGCATATTCCCAATTTGTCCTCTCAATTTCCTGTTCAACCACAATGTAATTATTATAATATTCCGAATTTATCCTCGAAATTTCCTCGTCTGTGCTAATCAATTCCGGATATTCCGAACTTGTCCTTTCTTGGACACCACCACTACAACACGCATCTGAAACTTCCTCTCTTTCACTGATCAAATTCCTCACCACTAACCAACCATCAGATTCCCAATTTGCCCCTGCGTTTGTAGCTAATTCACCCATTCTTTCTCTAGCGGAGTTTTCATGAAATTGTAATTTACTGTTCGTACTTTGAGTAATTTCTTCGTTATCTTCGTCGGACAACTCTGAATTGAACCAATCGAGAACACAACGAGGGGATGAATGAGTAATCGAATCGGACGGTGACGATGATGACATGAATGGGTGACGCAGCAGCTGATCACAGCTCCACCGCTTGGTATGATCTCTCCGGAGACACTTGTCGAGGAAGTCACGACCGAGTTCCGACAGCTGAGTCGGGAGCTCCGGCAACTGGTCCGAGTAACCGATTCGACACAGCGTGTCGGCGCCTCGGTCCTCCCACGCCGGCTTTCCGGTGATCATCTCGATGACGGTACACCCCAGCGACCAGACGTCAGATTCCGGCCCCTGGTGTTCCCGCCGGATCACCTCCGGCGCCATCCACAGCGGACTCCCACGTGGAGTGATCGCAGCGGTTGAATCGATCGCCGAACCGAAATCAGCCAGCTTCGCCATCCCGGGTGTGGACCCCACCAAGACGTTCTTTCCCTTGACGTCACAATGCACAAGGCCTTTCGAGTGAACGTAACGCAACGCCGAGACGACGCACCACGTGTACGACCGTATAATTCCCTCGTCCGCGTCAGCAGCGCCGGAACACTTTGCCAAATCAGCAACGGTGCCACCTGGCAAGTACTCCAGATATAAGTTCCGGAACGACGTCGTCACGTCGTCGCCGACATACTCCACCACGTACGGGGACGAAAGTGATCGGAGAATTTGAATTTCGTTCTCCAACGCCTCCAGCTGAGAACTCAGACATAAGCTCTGATCCACCGACTTGACGGCAAAAACATGACCGTCCGATTTGTCGACGGCGAGACTGACGGTGCCAAATGAACCTCTTCCTATACAAGCCCCTCTGACCCAGTTCGAATTTCGATTCACTTTCTCCATCTCTCTCACGAAACTAAGAATTTTTTTTAAAAAAAAGTAGTATTGGTTTTGGTTTGTTATTGGAGGCGTTGAGTGTGGATATATATATATATATATGTGGGGACGTGTGTAAAAGTGTGTGGAATTGGAAAATTATCCGTATAAGCGGTTGGTGACGTCAGGAGAGTTCTGGTCAGGAACTAATTGACGTAAAAGGGTATACGATACTGGGTTTTATCCTTATCCATGGGTGGTGTGGTGTGGTAGAATCTGCACCGTTGATTTGTGTTTTGATTATCGTGATTTTTGGTTGGGGCGGTTTGTCGACGTCACGGATTGGGTGGCATTCAACATGTGGTCTTAAAGTTCATAACCGTGGTGGTTCGTGGAAGGATTTGGGTTGGCTCGACCATTTCTAAATTCTCATGTTTTTGGTTGGGGCTGCTGATTCAATGGACCACAGAACCATCATTCTTCATGCCGCCCTAAGATCAATTTTGGAACTTGGATACATTCTTATTATTATTTCTTAAATTGTGAATTAGAATTATTATTATTTTTTATTATTAACCCTTATTCAGTTTAACCGGAGGACAACTCTTATTATACTTTAATTTTAATCTTTTTCGAAATTTAAAGATACTTGGTTTAAAAAAAAAAAAGAGGGCTGATATTTAATAATTTCAAACGGCTGTGATCGGCTGATGCAGGATAAGATGTGTAGACTTGTTACACCAAATCACAGAACTGATGACATTCTGGGGTATCCAAGTAGGTCGCCAAAAAAAACCCCAAAAAACTAGTCCACCACATGAATTAAGAAAGGGAGGTGGGGACAGAGTTGTGTGTTGAGGCTGGGTTGGAACTTAAAGCGGGACCCACTTGTTTTCTGACGTGGCAGAAATTTGTAGGTCCACGTTAAGGCAACATGGAATGAGATGCTCATGCTCTTTGATGGAGATGCCAAATGCGTGTCGCGATGTGCCCACCATTTGCTGGTGTCTAGCCTCCGGAGAAGGGGCTTCGGTAGAAGTCAGTTGACGTGAACCACCAACCTCCATTCAATATATATATATATATATATATATATATATTTGTATGTAAATATTATATAAACCATATCTCTATATTCACCATTAACTAGTTAGGATCTTCTTTGTTTATTGAGGATCTTCTTTGTTTACTGGACTGTTCAATACACATAATATGATGGAGATCACTGCTTGTATACTACAAAGGGGTCATAACTTGTAATTTTGGTTTATGTAAATATAATATAAACCATATACCTATATATTTACCATTATATATGTTTGTGTATGCAGATGTCTCGATAATTCAGTTGTTAGTACTTTCAATAAATTTTAAAAGTACTAAACTTTGGCTCTTTATATCTATTAATCGAACTTCTAACTCTTCTTGTCTTTTAAAAAAAAAAAAAAATGTTAGTGTGTGTGTATATATATATATACATATATAGTTATACCTATCTTTTAAAGAATGTGACACCTCTTAATTCCTTAGCTACCACCTAATTAGGAAAACAACTCTGTCATCCCACCAAAATGTTTGGGACACTATAGGTGGACAGAATTGGGTAGGAGATAGGATAAAGAAAACTAGTGATGACCACAAATTTGATGAAGTGGTAAGGGTTTTAGTTATTGGGTATTTGGTGAATTTATACTTTCTTTCATGACGTGTACAAATTATGGGTTGCTAACTCTAAATGTTTGCCACCTGTCACAATTGGAAGGTTTTTGTAAAGGTCACACACCACGTGTAAAATGCTCAAATATTGAGGAAGCTTCATGGATTCAAACATGTATGTACATTTGGTGACTTGAAAAGGAAAGTACAGAGAGTGATGGTTTGCCACGTAAGATTGGTATGTTCAAAAATATATGGGGATGAGAATTAAATTTGTAGGTCATTGAAGAAGAAAGTATTTGGACAATTTTGTGTGTGTACAAATTAAATTGGTACAATTGGTGATTGTTAGGTCAAAACACAGTTACACCAAGAATGAAACATTTTTCATATTGCCAGCTAATTCGTTCTCACTTGTCAATGAAAGAGTTTAGTTATACCTTACAAAATAAATAAGAGAACCAAAAAAGAGAGCACTTATTTAATTTACAAAATTTAATGAACTCTTATATTTTAGTCAGTAAATGAATAATGATTTTTACGCCGAAGTCTTCAACTTGATTGAATTTTCCATGGTGGTCGGCTAAAGTATTTGATTGAAAACTTTAACTCAAATAGCATGTAAACTTATGTTATTTTGAATGTACGGTTTCAAATTCCAATTATGTTAATTTGAGTTTTTTGTTAACAAACATCTTAATCAAGTTAAAATTAGTATTTAGTCTTTTTAAAGATTATTTCAAGATTTCTCTTTCTCCCTTTCAATTTCGATTATTTTATTTTCAATCAAGGTCAGATGAAATCGAGGCACATTTACAACAATGTATTATATATTTATGACTTTTAATTATTGATATGATTGATTAACATCCATCAGGCTATTCTAAACACTAAGTTTGTTTCAAACAAATTAATTTGGGGTGGCACATTAATTATATCTTTTCTTTACAATTAGTGATAGAAATAAATTTTTTGTGGGTGAGCAAGCGACATTGATGATTGACAAAATATATTTATATTCTATAAGCTTTTAAAATTCAACTTCACAACAATTTCTTGAAGAGTAACCTTTTAATCTCACAGTGGTGACAACTTAAACAAATTGAGCACACCATAAGAACAAACTCAGCTCTAATATTATGTTGGAAAATATCAAATTGGGGCCTCAAAATTAGAATTTAAGAAAATTTCATTAAAAATTTAAATTGAATTCTCTCCAATTTCAATTCAAGATGTCAATTCAGTATTTTCAGACACAACATAATTGTATTTATTTAAAAATTGAAAAGGCCTATTTAAATTTGAAAAGGGGGAGAGGAGTTGTCTAAAAATAATTTTTCGAATAAATGTGCTTTAACAATTTCACCCGATAAAGAAAGAGAAATGGTGCACACAATTCAAATTAGATTGATTTTTGTAAAAATTGTAACCACAGTTTCAAAAAAATTAGAACTAATCCGATTAGGTAGCCAAATTCGACTCCATCTAAACCAATCCGAACTGCGTTAACAAATTAGATTTGAAAGCAATGTTTAATTGGTTGAATATATTCCAGAAAAATTGTTTGTTTTCACGCAACCATCAAAGTAAGTCGCTTTTCAAAACAAAAAAACCATCAAAGTAAGTTTCCAACAGGTAATGAAAAGGATATTTGAGACAACCTGTCTAACAAATTTTAGCGACGTTTAGGAGGGTTGTCGCCTGAGAGCAAGGCAAAAATCAAAATTGAAGAATCGTCGGACCAACAATACAACGTGAATTTGAACTAAACGGTTTTCGATCATTTCATAAATCGCAGCCGACATGCATAACTCACACTGTCACACACAGTCAATTCGGGTTTTTTTTTGTTCTGGTTCCTGCGTAACCAACTTCTCCTTTCATGTTTATGCATCTCACCTTTGTTTTTCATGAAATTTATAAATCTACTTTAGAATCAATTAAGATTGATATGACCCATATGGGAAAAAATTCCTTCGTATTATAAAATTTTTATACACGCTAAATTAACTGTTTTTTTTTTTTTTAATTATTATTTATTAGGGCTAAAATCACAAAACCTATTGTAGTTACCAAAAACTCCATATAAGCTCCCTCAATTAACAAATCACCCTCACAACTAACAAAAACTATCAAGTTGATTCCAATTCGTGTCAAAACTGTTAACTTCATGTGAATTGACAAAAATGACCTTTGATAACATAATATTATTTATAAAATTGAATGTGTAAATTTAAAATACCAAATATGCCCTTTAAATGAATTGGGGAAAATATACATACAATACTAAACTTAAAACAACATCGTCTTGCCCTGTACAGAAATACACATTGAATGTATCCCCCTCTCTCACCCCTCCTCTCTCCTCCCCTCCCGACATCGTTCTTGTCCGATCTTCCAAGCTTTCCGTAGGCAAAGCCCATCAGGGCAAAGCCCGGTCCACACATCTTCAAAGATTGATGTCGATGTTCCCATCTTCGTCGTCAGCTCTCAAGTCATCGAATCCCTCATCCTCCCTTTCCCCCCTTCCCCCCAAACCTTTAAAATCTGTTTTCTGTTCATGAAAGCGATTGGTAACTGCAATGAATCTCAACCTTAAGTCACTGCTGAAATTGACCATCACAAATACAAATTCTCAGTTCTGATCAACGCTGGAGCAGATCCGAATAGTAGGGACTTCGACGAACGGTCGGTGATGTCCCTCACCATTAAAAATTGATTGAATCTAATTGCACAATTCAAAACTGATTGAATTAAAAAATGAGTGAATCCAAACATGCATGACTAACTTGGTTGCCATCATGAATATAAATTTTCAGTTCACAGTTGCTCAAATTAGCAAGGTAACTTTTGTTTGCACCAATGTCTCTTTAGGGGTTGTGTGTGACGGGTAGTTGATGACTAATTTTGGAGAAATAGGTAATTGATGATGGTGGCGACGCCACTGCCGATGTCTGAATTCCCATTCTAAGATTGCGTCCACACCAATAAATCGGATCAACCCATATCACGTGCATCGTCAATTTCTCAACTCGCACCTGAATCAAAACCATTTATTTCTTTATCTGATTTCTCTCTTTTTGCTTTAAAAGTTCGAATTAATGATCAAACACTAGCATTTTTTTGTCGGTTATTGACCAAGCATTGTAGTTATTTTGTGTTGTGTGCCATGAGAGTAGAGGAAGAAGATGACGATGAAGAAAAACATAAAAGGATTTGGTGGATGTTGTTGTGCAACATTTTGTTCTTATTGAGGCAAATGCAAACTAAAGGTCTTCTATAAGGACAGTTAAGTCATTATGTAATTAAAAGGGCAGTATGGTCAGAATAGTATGCACGTGACTGTCACATGCTTTTCTCCCGTTAATTTTAGACGGCCACTTAATAGAATAGGGTGATTTGACAATTTTTAGAAAAAGATTAAGGAGTAATGTGATAGTTTCTTTAGTTGAGGGGTTAGTCGATAGTTTTTGAACCCTATTTATTAAGGCTCTATTTGGTTCTCATTTTGTTTTAACCCGAAACAAACAGCTATTTTGTTGTAGAGTATTGTGAATAGTAATCGGAATCATGTTTGGTAACGTCCATTTGTTGCAAGATTTTTGGAAGCATGTAAAAACATTTCGATAGTCCACATTGGGTCCAGTGGGCCACTGATCTTTTCCCTTATTGGTAGTTTTTATAGTAAAGTTCTAATAATTGTAAAAGTACCACCACTGAACCTATAAAATTCACAAAAACCCTTTTAAAAAACTTTCAAGATTCAAAGAATCCCTCATTTTCTAACTCATTGTCCAATAAAATTTTCAAAATTAAAAAATACCACTTTTTTCTCCTCAACCGAGTCTCACAAAATTTTTAAATATCAAAATTTAGAAAAGACCCCTCCTTTTGTATGTATTAATTTTGGTTCAAAATTTCTTGCCATACTATTGTTAACGGTTGCCCCTCCGAAATAAATTCTTGGCTCCGCCGCTGCTTTTCGTTAGTATGCAAAATAAAATATTTTTTACCAAACATGTTTTTTTTCACTATTTATTACTATTGTTTTAGACAAAAATAAAATTACCAAAAACAAAACGTGTACTAAACAAATCCTATCTGTTCAATGCAACCAATTCATATATATATATATAATTTATGACCTATCTGTTTTGAAAATATTTTTTCTATCATCTAAAAAGAATACAATAGATCAAAATCAAGAAAAACATTAGTTTACTTGCACGTACTTTTGTTATTATAATGCACCTTATCTTGTTAATTTCGGATATTGTAACATGCCTCTTTTTAAAATGTGTTGTTAGTTGATAAGATTTGTACAAAAGAAGACTTAAAATGTGTTAATCAGTGGTTCAAAATAATTTAATTTAATTTTCAACCATATAAACACATTTATAACATGTCCCACATGTGCCTAAGAGTGGGCATCTTTGTTTATTCATTGTTTTTTTTTTTTTTTTTTCCTAAGAACAATCAACTTCATTTGACCCATCAACTAACTTGTCCCCCCGCCTTACGATGCAAGTGCTGTTTTCATCATTTGAGGGATCCTTCTGGATATGAACAGAGCTTATGGCCTAACAATATGAAAACAGGAAAATCTCCCACAAGACCTGCTGGTTGGTCACCAAGCTCACACACATAATAATGTTTGGTGTGTATGCCTCAATATTTATCTCTCTCTCTCTCTCTCTCTATATATATAATAATGTTTGGACAAATTACAGATATATTATTTAACATTTTTTACTTTGATTTTTTCTAAACTCATTCGTGGAAGGTCGAAAAGTAGTTAAAAGTCAGTAACACTATTATACTAATAACATTATATTCTATTGCATTTTACAAGGAAAGGATAAAATTGTCATTTTATAAAATTTGGTCAACAAATTTGTAAGAAAAAAAACATACGCCAAATTTCAAAAAGATCAAAATAATAAACATAATTTATCCAAAGTTTAGGAAAGGTCAACATAATTTACCCATATATATATATATATATATATATATATATATATATATTTATGTATGTATGTGTGTGTGTGCATCTGTGTGTCTATATAGGCTTGGGCACAAAAACACACGCGACATGATAATGTAACACACAGAAAACCAACAAGCCCAAGTTGCATCTACAGTAGACTGAATGACTACACTAAGAGCGTGCCATGTCGAATGAGGCGGAGGCAAACCGTCATGTCACGTGCACTTCTTGGCAACATTTTGAGCACAAGGGGCAAGGGGGGCTTAATTTACGGACAGCTTATGACCATATAATGTGATTAATATATTTTTCTTAGTATTTTATTTCATTGTATATGTAAACATAGAATACTAAGTTGAAGATGCGAATATAAGATTTTCTGGTAGGCTTCTTCCCCTCGTACCATTAATTTGGTGGGGTTTTCGGAGAGCTTGTTTCCATTGCAATATTCTTCCAGTTTTCTGGTAGGGTTCGTGGACTAGTAATACACACAGTACACACAGTACCACATATTCTTAAGTTTAGGTTTGTTTAGGTGTTATAGAAGATTCTCCAATCGACAAGAATTAATTTTAGGTTCTTGAAGGAGATTCTTTGGATCAACAGGAAGTCGAAGGCTTGCAAATTAATCTGTAATTTGAACAATTACAGCCAAATGAAATTAAAAAAGAGGATAAATCTCTTTTGAACATGCTAGAATAGAATTAAATTCAGACAAAGTCTTCACATTCCATGCTTTAGTGATTTATAAGGATACTAATAAATAAAAGATTAATCACCTTAATAACTGATAATTTGTAATATAATTAGTGAACAAGGAAAGTCCATTTAGTGCTTAATATTGTACAAACAAGATCGCTCTGTCATGTGGACATAAGAGGAAATATTGAAATGAGTTTTAACATACTGAAGTCCTACAAAAAAAAAAAAAAAAAAAAAAAAATAATAATAATAATAATAATAAAAAATTTCTAATCATTGCACTAAGAATTTAAGAGAGGATTAGAAGTATCTTCTAATTACAGAAGGTCTGGAGTCTCGTAATATTGTACACCTTACTAAGGTGGCCTCTGGCCTGAAATTGTATTTTGGTATTTTCTTACTTTTTATGTAACCTTAATTTTATACTACAAGTATAGTGGAATAAGTTATTATTAGTTATTATTTTGAACAGACTGTAATTCGTTTGCTTTTTATTGTAGTGAAATTTCGACGATCCCATAAACATAACTTAGTTTTGATGAACAACGTAAATTTATTGGTCCCCCCGGGCGGTTTTCACAACAATCAAATGGGACTTTCTGATAATCAAAATGATTAATTATTATTTTGAACAGACTGTAATTCGTTTGCTTTTTATTGTAGTGAAATTTCGACAATCCCATAAACATAACCTAGTTTTGATGAACAACATAAATTTATTGGCCTTATTTGTATTCTTGTTGTCACGTAAATATGTGTCCTGCTTATGTTTTTGTTGTTTTTTTTTTCCCCCTGTTTTCACAACAATCAAATGGGACTTTCTGATAATCAAAATGATGATGAACAAAAAAATTTGGAAAATTTCAAAATAAGCAACCTGTGAAATAACTTTTGTAGAGCAAAGGTGGGAGTCAGTAGATCATGTTATTCTGAATTGTGTGAGGGTTTAAATGGTAAATGCATTGCATCAGCAATTAATTTTACTACCACCAGTTAAGGAGATAACATAACCACCATATATATCCGGAGGAAAAATCATATCCCAAGTATATATATACTTGAAGCTTATATTCATCTAATTCTTGGAGGTAAATTCAAGTTTTAGGATGAGGTTTACAATGATTCAAAATTAGATGGTGAAGGCAGAGCAACATGTCGTGCAATTTGTTCAAAGTGATGCAGAGAGGTGGGGGAAAATTGCGAAGTCTATTCAGTCTCAAGTTTGTGTTTTTTTGCCATCTAAAATGATGGGAAATTATTACATGGTCAAAGATTATAGAACCGGTCAATCACGTCCCGATAGACAAGCATTGTGATTTGACGAGATCATGTAGCGCCGGACCATGTAAAAATTTATTCAAGAGTCGTTATTCAAGAATGACTCTGCCGGTAAATGTTTGCATATTTTTAAAGAATACAACTTAGTCCTATATAGCCAGCTGGAGCTTGCGAGTCCAAGAGAGCATATGAGGTAGTAACTTGATCGCTCAGTAATATGTTGTTTCACCACAAAAAATAAGAAAAAAGAAAAAAGAAAAGTAACTATGACTGAATTAAAGCCTAAAATAGAAGAATCATAACCTAGATGAAATTTATAAAAGAATAAATTAATTTACAAATAGGGGTCAATAGAATTTCAATGAATAAAGAATATGTATAAAAAATAATTTAAACGCGTTTCTGTGTTTGATCATTCTCCAAAAAACTGCAAAAAAGGTCAAACAACTACGCTAGATGAGGCTCTTCCATTAAAACATATACCTCCTCCATCATCTTCGTCATCATCAACAACTAACAAAATCACTATGTAGTAATACCCCACCACTAAACAGCAACTACTGAGAGTCTGGCCTTTAACCCCTAATAGGGTAAAGGATTTACTTTGAAAAGAAAAAAACGCAGGCAGGAGAACTTTTCTGTCAAGTTATATAAATTAGGGTAGCTAATTCTCCAATAAAAAGCCGACGACCATCAATGATATTTTTCCAATTGAATCAGCATCACACTAATATCATCGAAGGAGCCTCGCGAAACGGAGAGGTCTGCAAGCATTTTACAAGCTGACAGAGGTTCTGGCTTGTCAGTTCCTAAGCACAAAGGACGAGCAATATCGACAGCTTCCTGATTGCTAACCTATAAAACAAAGGGAAGAAGGGGTCAATTAAAGTTGCCCACAAGGAATCACCAAAAATAATACTAATATATAAGAATATAAATTCAATTTGTAATCCATTACCTTATCCCACAAGCCATCAGAAGCAAGGAGTAAGAATTCGAAGTCCGGTTTGATTTTAAAAATTTTTGTTTCCGGTTCTGCTATTACCCATTGTTTAAGGTGGCGATCTCCAATTCCTCTGGACACAGCCAGAGATCCCTGAATTCGCCAAACACCACGGCAACAATCGACGTAGCCACCCTATAAATGATATCACAAACCAATCAGTTGCAATTCAGATGCTACCAGCATTTCATTTCAGACAGAGGGAAAAGAAGAACATCTAAAATAAAAACAACTAGCTGCTCACCGTGGTCTCAATTCTATCCTTCTCGTCTTCCCTTGAAGGGCGGTGATCAGATGTGAGGGCCTCAGCAACCCCACCCCTGCTCATCACGGCACGGCAGTCACCAGCATTAGATACCACGAGGTTACCTTTTCTGATAAGTGCTGTGACACAACATGATCCCCCGCGGACATCTTCCTTCAGAAACTCGGTATCTGTTTTCAGATAACCATTTTTAATGGCTTCCTCAACCTCTCCTTCATCCCTTTGTTCCAATTCATCTAAAATGTTTTTATTCAAGTTCTCTGCTGCAAACACAGCAGCTTTTGCACCTCCATGCCCATCAAAAACACCAAAAAAAGCCTGCAAAATAAAAAGGGGAGGGAAAAAAAACTGTATATCAGATTTTGGTTTCATCAAGTTCATATAAATAACATATTACCAAGTACAAGTAAAAGGCCTGCAACAATTTCTTTCAAACCTGAACTTCAATTTTTTTTTTTTTTTTTTTCCCACAAGATTCAATTACTTACTAGAAAATTCTTCCACAATTTTTTAATAATCCAACTTGAGTACAGTATCATTAATGATTTGTGAGTTCCCTAAGCCTCCATTAAAAGCTAATTTGTAATAGAACACTTCCAGGTAGATCCTAAAACTTTCTCAAAAATAGAACTCAGGAAAAGAAATTGGCAGAAAGTACTCCCAGTTTAGAGCAGTAACACTCGATTTATCTCCAAAGACTACTTAATCATGAAACTATACTAGCCCTAGGGAAAATAACCTCTTCACATTCAATATTGTTTTTTGAACTTATTTTAGGAAAAATTTCAGTATAAAGACTAACGGTCAAATTCCCACAAGGTAATGTAAACAACAACAAAAGTCTTCAATCAAACAAATCTCCTCAAAAAGGTTCCAATTTGTAGAATACAATCACCAAAACTATCAATTTTCACAAAGCCAATAATGAAATTATTATTACTTTCATTAAAAAAATAAAAGCTCTAATCTTTTTTACCTGTTTAGGATCTCCTTGAAGATCAAGGGCAGCAGAGTACCGATCCTCCATGGCCTCTCTCCTCCCTCTCTTGCAGTACACAGAATACCCATCCCTCTCAACCTCCACCGACTCCTCAGCCGCGGACGGCGTCGCCGGACAACCACCAGCAAAGCTCCACGAAGCAATCGGAATATCGAGCCGCATCGGCCTCTTCCTCTTTTGCAGCGTCGGAGAAGACAAAGAAGAAGACGACGACAACGACCCACCGTCCGTAGAAGCCCTAGCGAGTCCACTGAGAGGTGGTGGTTTCAGCAGCCGGAGCCTGAGCGGCGACGACGGCGACGACGAGGAGGGCGATTGAGAGATGGTTTCGGGGGATGAAGAGATGGAGGAGGATTTGCAGAAGAGAGAAGAGGAAACCCTAGATGGAGAGAAGACAGGGGAGCTCGAAATCGCAACGGTACAAGACATTCTGTAACGTCCTAATTTTTTGTGTGTTCTGATTTTGTTGAGAGGAGAGAGAGAGACAGAGGGCTATTTATATATGGAGATGGATGTGGGTTTGTCATGGTAGAGAGTCAAAGTGTGGGTCTACGGGCCTAGGCCCATCTCCGTGTTATAAGAGCGTGTTTTGATTTTGCCAAATTTTCAGTTTTCCAAGTCATGTATTGACTTGTGATTGGGACACCACCCTTTCCTATTCTTTCAATGCTCTTATAATTTATTCCTAGAATATTGAATTATGGTTATAGTTATTTATTTATTTTTTATAATGTTCCCAGGATTCTGTATGATTTGTACTTCTTAAAACAAAAGTGTCTAGCAATTGACTAATCCTTCACATTATTTATTTATTTTTTTTAAACCTGAGCTACTGGTACATTGGTACTCCTAGGGATGACGATCTCTCCCATTCAGCGGGTTTTTGCCCTGCCTAATCCCTAATGAATTGAATTTAAAAGTTTCTAAATGAATTTGGAACGGATATGATAAAATAATTGAAAATTCGAATCGGGCTTGGGACAGAGGCGGATTTAGTGATGAACCCACCCCAATCCCGCCTCGATTATATATGTACTTTTAAAAATTATATATATATATAAATCTAATATATATTTAATATTTTTAAGACCTTGTTACTTAATTTAAAGTATATTAATATTCACGAAGAAGTCTTTAGTAATTTAAAAGCTGGGCCAATTTGTTTATCAGCCCAATTTGATCGCATTAGGACCATTGGGTTAATTTTTTTTTACTAAATAATAAAAGTGGCATAATCCGCCCTCACCTCGCAATTAAACGGAATATGCGGGACGGAGTCGGTACTTTGTTTGCCGAAATAAAGACGAGAATGATATACCAATTACAAACCCGTTCTGGAGTATGAACGGAGTTAGTATGACGGATTTTCTAACGAAGCGTAGTAAGGTTTAGTGAAACCCGCCCCAACTCAGCCCCGTTGCCATCTCGATTAAGGAATAATTGTTTACACGAAGGAAGTGCATCCCCTCCTCTTTGGAGGGGTGTGGAGGGGTTCTCTGTGCAAAACTATGTTGTTTTGGTGTACAAGTACGGAACCAACACAGGTATTGTGTTGTGTGGGACCCACCTTAAGGCTCTGTATTGCACCAAAACGACTTTGTTTTGGTTCACAACATCGTGCACAAGCCCCTTCCAAACACTAGGGGTTCTGGTCCTTGAGCTTGTCTGTACCACCAGACGTATGAGTATTGTCTTATAATTGCGCAATTGTTGATTTTGCAATTATACATAGTTATATTGGAATTTGGTGCATCTTATGCCTCTCATTTTTTATTATTTATTTATTTATTTATTTTTTTACTTACAGCTTTTGAAGGAAGTTGATTTCAAATATGCTAGAAGGTATGCAAATGTAATTTTCAGTGATTATAGATAAATGATGATTTCAACTGTGCTATGGAAACAACGTTTGAACTACCCTCAAGATATATAAAGTGTTACTAAACATCATGTTTTGATATATGATGTTCTTCGAAAGTAAAATGAGGTGTTACTAATCATGTTTTGATATATGATGTTCTTGGAAAGTAAAATGAAATATATTTATATTTTTGTTGATAGGTTCTCAAAGCACCCCATAACTCACGATGAGGCACATGAAGTGGCAAAATTTATGTGAGTCGAGAGTCTTGCTATTAAGCTATCCTTTGAAATTAGAAAAATAAAATATTTTAAGTTATGTTTAAATCATTTTTTTGTATGATATTAAATTTTGAGAATGATGTTAATGTATTTTTTGCAACTTCATCAAATTGCCATGTTTTGTTTGTATTTGCATTGTCAAAAATAAAAAATAAAAAATAAAAATAAAATAAAAATTAAAACGATGTTTGAAATTACCGAACTCACATATTAAAATTAAAATTAGGATAAATATTATTAAGATTTTGAATTAAATTTCACTTCCATTTTAATTCTAAAACATTGATTCGTTGTTATCAAATACTCCGTACAACATAAAAATGCATTTGATAGCATAATGGACATTTGTGAGAGCTCATAATTATTTAACTAAATATAAAAAATAAAATAAATAAAAATATAAAAAATAAAAGAGAAACAAGGACATGGTAGAATGTAGTGATTGGTGAGAGGGGCAATAGTGTCCTTTTAGTGCATGAGAAGGCGCCCCAGATGAAAAGGAAGAGACGAGATGAGTGAGTGGTGTTAATAATGTGGCGCTACAAAAAAAACAATAAAAAGTCAACACTTTTTATGTTTGGATTTTAGGGAACGAGTTTTGACTTATAGACCATAGTGAACTCATTTTTCTTAGCAGCAAAGACACAGGTTGGCGCGTTTTTAATCAGCGGGCTGAACTGCCCAATTACCGTTGTGGATGATGACATTTTGGCATTGCGCGTGACGGCTGCAGGACACCGTGTAATGTGTTTTCCGACATGGATAGGATAAAAATGAAACTTCGACACCGCATAATCCTAAAGAATTATTTGCATTTAACATGAAAAATCCTCTCTTTCCTCGTTACTTTCCCTCATCCCTCTCTCCCCTTCGTGTTACTTTCCCTCTCCAGTCTCCACTCTCTTTATACTCTCGACCCAAATCTGTTTCTTGATTAATTTAAATTTGTGTCCTTTCTCCCTCATCTCGTATACATATAGAGAGAAAACTGGAGATTAGATTTTAAATTGGGAGAACTGAAAGAGATTAAATATTAGAGCGACATAAAAGTTCAATAAGAATACAAATGGTTATAAATGACCCAAGATAGACCGTGAAAAATGATTTACGAATTTTTTTTTGATAAATCAATTTGGTCATTTAGGAGTAAAATGATTTACATGAAGAATAATTTTCTAATCTTGGAGTCTTTCAAATATCAAAAAATGAGGAAAATTATTTCTGAAAAATATTTTACGGTGAAACAAACAAAGCCTTAAAGTCAAAACAGATCACAAAAAATGAGTAACAAAATGAGAAAAAAAAAAAAAAAATTACAAAAGACAAAATAAAAAAAGTGAAGAAAATTAAATATTTGACTCTTTATTAAAGTTTTAAAAAAGAAAGAATAGAGAGAAGGAAAAAAAGTTTTAAAAACAGTTTTGATACCAAGTTAATTGTGTGTATATAGATATTATAGAATTAGCTAATATATTTATAACATACTAGTATACTACACTGCAATGCACAATGTAAAATTCAACAATTTGTATCACTAAATCATATTTGAATAAGGTTTTTACAAATCACAATCCGAAAAAGAATATAATATAAAAAGAAAACAATTTGAAACCTTTTAGAAGCCAAAAGAATAATTTTGAAAAAACAAAGAACATCCAGATAATTATGAAGACTCGAGTTTCGTTTGTTTGGACGTAAAATATTTTTTTTATTTTCTGTTGTTTGGTTGTCGTAAAACATTTACAAAGAAAAAAAAATATTAAAATTTAACAAAAATAACTTATCCATCAATTTCCAGCAAACGTAAACCTTTGTCAAACACCAATAAAGTAAAAATAAAAAAATATTTTTCACGTCAAGTGATAGAATACCCAAGGTAAACTGGCGACATGTGAGTTGGCTACTTTGAAATTCCATTATTGGTACTCGTATTAACTTGAAAAAATTATGATTTGAGGGTAACATTTCCACGAACAAACACCTTCAAGAAATTACATCCCTAATGATGTTTAACATCATGACGACATTTTCATTTTATACGTTCGTGCGGAGACCACTCCACCAGTACAAAATGACGAAATGTGAACATGAAAATTGAATGCAACCCTAAGACAAAGAGCTGTGACTTTTCAAATGTATAAACATACACACAAAAAAGATAGAAAAATCTATATGTAGGATCAAATGACGTAATGTGAACATGAAAATTGAATGTGAGCTATGACTTTTCAAATGTATAAACATACACACAAAAGATAGTAAGAAATGTGTGTTTATATAATCTATATGTAGGATCAAATTAGTATCGGAGCCAAAAATTATTATCCATATTCAATTTGTTTAGATAATAACTATCGGATTCGAATTATTGGATCAAATTCCCATCCGTTGAATGCAATTAGACTTTTCAAAGTTAAGAAAATGCATTATAAATTTTTACTTGTACATTCAACTAATAGCAATCAACCTTTATCTGCTGAATTATTAGTGTAAAATAAAGAACCTCAATGTTCCAACGATTTGATATTTATTCCTTATTCACACATCTTACTAGTAAAAAGATGATTTTTTTTTTTCATTAGCAGTAAAAAGATGATTCTCGCTATAAAAGTGAAGAATAGCTATGAAAATGTTTCAAACACAAAAGGTATCCTTTTCAACTATTGCAGGGTTATATGGTTAGTTACTCATTTCAATAGTTCAAAGCCATCAAGTAAGGATAAAATGAACAACTAAACGAAAAAGAAAATAAATAATGGAGTTGTATACCATTATTAGTGTTTGTTTCATTCCTCTTTAAATAAATTTATAATTTTAAAATAAAATAACACAACTGTTTTTTGAAAAATCAAATAAGTTTGTGCAGCAGAAACCAAAAAGGGACACGAAGACGTGCTTAAGAAAGAATTGTGTCATTTTATTCCATAAAAACAATAAAGTCAAAAGTCTATGATCAACTCTCAGGAAGGTTAATCCAAAAATAAAGCAAAAACAAAAAAAGCAAGCACCAGGAAGTAAATAACAAAGCACCAACCATAAACAGTTCAAGAGATACATAAACACCTTAGTTATTTAGTAAAAGTATACTGGCAGGTGATGCTTACCTTTAGGCACCAAAAAACCTCAAACAGTGGGACTGATATTGCAAACCTTCTGCTGCTTTGAAACTTCAAGATCTCTTTTGATACATTACTTCCATACTCTAGAAGTTCCTATTTGCCACAGCCTCAAACTCTCCATTGGACGTATCACCTGACTGGTGGTCTCTGTTTGGTGAATTCCCCATGTCTCTAGCATTTGATGAGCCCCAGCCTCGACGGTCAATACCCTGAACATTCCCGGTGTTCGTGTAATCAGACATGTGCCCACCCTGGTAGCGTTCGTTCGGCTCATTTCTTGAGCTTGTGTAATGAGGCGTGCCCTTATTTTGGTATTCTCCATTTGGCATTGATCCCATATCACTTGCCCAATTTGGACCATCTCTTGGTTGAACATTTCCCATATTGTTATATGGGTCGCCCTGATGTTGCACAGGATGCGACATTCCCCTATTGTGGAAATCTTGATTTTCAATTGGATGTGGTGGCACACTCCTATTGTAGACATTTTGATTCTGCTTTGGTGGTGTAACATCTCTGTTGGGGTACCTCTGATTATGCACTGGGAGAGGACTGTTCCTGTTCAGATATTCATTGTTCTGCAATGGTTGGGACACATTCCTATCCTGCAAATTGAGGTCGTTCGAGGGAGGTCTCATCTCGTTTCTCTGGTAATTCCAGTTATGAGTTGGAGGTTCCATGTACCTATTTGGGACCCCTCTATTAGCCATGGGAGGAGGAATCTCCCTACTCTGGAAATCTCGATTCTGTATTGATTGAGCATAATTATTTTGATAGTCGTGGCTTTGCATTGAAGGCAGCACATCCCTGTTCTGGAAACTATTGTTTGACGCTTGAGGTGGAATGCCAGTTCTCTGAACATCAGGATTCTGCATTTGAAAGGGCATGTCCCTGCTTGCTGGAGGGGCCTGACTTTGGTAAATTGGTGTGGATGCGAAATTCTGGTTTGGAAGACTTGGTGGGGGTTTTGGTGTTGACGGTGGTGGTAGTGGGGGTCGCACATTCTGAGCTGGAATATTACCATTTGAGAAATTTGGCATTGGAGGGGATTGATTTTGGTAATTTGGTGTAGGTGCGAAATTCTGGTTTGGAAGACTTGGTGCGGGTTTTGGTGTTGATGGTGGTGGTAGTGGGGGTTGCATATTCTGAGCTGGAATATTACCACTTGAGAAATTTGGCATTGGAGGGGATTGATTTTGGTAATTTGGTGTAGGTGAGAAATTCTGGTTTGGAAGACTTGGTGCGGGTTTTGGTGTTGGTGGTGGTAGTGGGGGTCGCACATTCTGAGCTGGAATATTACCATTTGAGAAATTTGGCATTGGAGGGGCTTGATTTTGGTAATTTGGTGTAGGTGTGAAATTCTGGTTCAAAGCACTTCGAGGGTTTGGCTGCGACGTCGGTGGCGGTGGAGGAGGTTGCATATTTTGACTGGTCATATTATCTCTTCTCTGAATGTTCCTTGGCCTGTCTTCTCTCCTTCCCCTGGTCTTGTTGTTGCTGTTCCTTCGTAATGAGTCATTATAGTTCCGTACCCACGTCTCATGGTACATGGGGTCATAAGGAACAGCTTGACCGTCGATGAAAGGCTCCCCTGCAAAACCGATAGAAAATACACGATGAAATAAAGATAACAAAAGTCAAGTAGAACCAAGATAGATACCTTAAGTAGAAGAATAAACAGCACCATTGCACAAAAGGGATACGTGGTCATTATGTCATTTCCATTAAAAAAGCAAATGATTGTCAATAACATTTTTATTCTTTCAAGTTACATTTAAATTCAACACAAAAGAGAATCAATTATTGATTAAATAAAATTATACATGAATAAACCTCCTCAAGTTGAATTATGAACACAATTCAACCACAAAAAAATAATAAATAAATAAATAATGGATCACGAAATACACTATATCTTACACTAATACCTAAACTCAACAAAATATAGCCATGAATTAAATAATAGAAGTGACCTGCATGAGAGAATTCAAACCTCAACCCAATCCAACATGGCCGGGTTTGCTCACGCTGTCCTAATGGAATTGAAAACAGAATGTTGACGAGTAAACTCACCTCCATAGTTCTTGTTCTTAACATCAAGATAAGAATCTGGAAGAACCCACCTAACCTTTGGGAGCTCTGCAAGCAAAAAAAAAACTACTAATCACCCAAAAGCAATGCACCCAACACCATGATATATATATATATATATATATATATATATATATATATATATATATATAAATAGAGATATTGAAAGAGGAAGAGAGAGTACCCTTTATCTTGTAGGAAAGCTCCTCCGACACAATGCACCCAAAAGCAAAATAATGTCGAGTCGAGACAGAGTAAATCTTCATTCGAGCTTCCTCTTCACTACAACAGTTTCCAAATAGAGTTCCCATATCAATTGAAGGCCAAGCAGTAAAACAAAATATCCGCCACAATGATAAGATTTTACAACATTTTATGTAAGTCTGTGTGTTCATCTTCATTACACTTCCATTATAAAACCAGTAAGTTAAAAAACAACAGTGATCATTTTTGAAATTTTATTAGGCCTAAAGAAATTGAAATGACAGCTCGTGTTAATTATAAATTGAGTGGAGATGAAAAAGAACACCCAAAATTGTGTGAAGACCACACAGTTGAATTTGTTGATTCTCGATAGGTAGCTAACAATGGGCTCCATCAACCTATATATATGTGCAATTAGAAACACATACACACAATTATACAAGCATACATAAAAATAAACCCCCATTGATCAAATTTCACCACGTTTCCGTGCAACATTTGAAGATATCAAATTGGTTCCATCAAGCATACACAAACACATACATATAGATGATAATTGGGTGTTCGTGAATCTATTTACATACTTCAATTACCTGCCAAGAACCTGAGCTAGGGTTTTGATATAACTATCAATGATCTCATCGCGGACCAGATTCGAGTCAGGAGGCTCCACGACAACGAGCCAATGCTCGAAGTCGCAACCATCCAGAAGTATCGTCTCTTTCGGAGGTCTGTTGCTCGAATCGTTCGTTGTTCGCGTGGCCATCGAACGAACACCCAAAACCCCATTCTTCAAACCGTTGATCGAAATCGAATTCGAGGGCAAATTGCAATGAGAGACCAAACATCTGATGTCGATTCGACTCTGGGTTTGCGAAAGCTTCGAAGAGGGTGAGGAGGATAAGCGAGTTATGGTTGTGTTGGTGTTGCGATACGAGTCGAGTTGGTGTCTCAGAGAGGCTAGGGTTAGGGTTCGCCGACGAATCATTTTCTTCTTCGTCGGTCGCTGCCGAAGCCTCTCAAAAAACCCTGAAATAGAGCTGTGATTTGCGAAATGCTGTGACAGCAGGGTTTAAGCGTCTTGTGTGTGTATTCAGGTGTGTGTTTGCTGTTGGTACGAGTATTAGAAGGGAACCGATCTCGGCCGTAGGATTGGTATACCTCCATTGTTTGATTCGCGATTTACGTCCACGGATCATTTCTTGTTTAATGGACTCTGAACTGAAGTTGGTTGGGGTTTTTGGACAATGAGGGCCTACGTAGGCCCAGTTAAAGTGAAAAATCCAGTAATTGTGGAGGTCTGAAAATGGTCCAGGTGAAGTGGGCTTCTTTTAGAGCTCATGCTGTGAGTTGTTTGATGGGCCTAGTGCTAATATTTCAACTAAGCTTAGCATTTCTTTTTCTTTTTAAATTTTTTTCTTCTATATAATTATATAGTTTAGTCTAGTAGACCTTAGTCACACAATTCGTCCAAAGAGGTCCCGTTCTCAAGCACTGCACGTGAATTTGCGATTTAGGAATTTAATTTTTGCAATTTGCGAATTTGTTTTCTTAATTCGTGATTTTCATACATATTTACCTTATATAATTAAATTTATTAAAGTCCCAGTGATATCAAACACCTATATTACAATATATGCATTTATTACTCACTCTATTACTCAATGTATACATTAATTACTTAAACTCCCTGTATGACATTGATATACTACCATATCTATATATATATATATATATATATATATATATATATATTAATTATACTTGTTTGAAAATATACCACTAAAAAACTTTCATATTACAAATAGATCATGCATCTATTAGTGAGAAAAGTTAGCTTATTTATTACCTATATTATTAATGAAATAAATAATAATGAATATATTTGCATATTGATTTAAATAAATATAAAATATAAAATATATACATCATTTTATTTAAACCTAATATACAAACGCTCTCAAGACGTTCTCACTCCCGCCCTCATGCTCACTCCTGTTTGACTTAGATCTAGACAATCTTGATTCTGTTCTATTTAGGATGGTAAATTTAGTCAAACTAAACTATTTCATGTTCATTTTTGTGTTCCACAAATATATAATATAATCAGAGGATGTATATAAATGAAATTGAACCAATCATGGTTTTGTTCTATTTAGGATGGTAAATTTAGTCAAACTAAACTATTTCATGTTAATTTTTGTGTTCCACAAATATATAATATAATCAGAGGATGTATATAAATGAAATTGAACCAATCATGGTTTTGTTCTATTTAGGATGGTAAATTTAGTCAAACTAAACGATTTCATGTTAATTTTTGTGTTCCATAAATATATAATATAATCAAAGGATGTGTATAAATGAAATTGAACTGTTCTCCGTTAGTGTCTCGTTATAGTATGTTTGAGCAATAGATTCCTGTTGTCGCCCCACCATTGTATTTGTTGCTATCGTCTCTGTCCCTCTCATCTCACCTGTTTGTTTTATTGAGCATCATGGCACTGAAATTAATTAAGTTGCAACTTGTCTACTCGGCAATATTCAAAGATGAGTTAAGAAACAGAAAGAAAAAAAGAAGATATTTTGAACTGTTAACAATCATCTATTTCAAAAGTTTAAGTTATTAAAGAGGGTGTAATTTTAATATTTATATCCTTCAACACGCCCCCTCACGTGTGTTCTTTTTTTAGTTCAACACGTGCTTTTCAATTTTTTAATTAGATTAACGGTGAGGTTTAAACTCGAAACCTTTGGCTCTGATACCATGTTAATAACCATTTACTCCAAAAGCTTAAGCTATTAGAGAAGGTGCAACTTTAATATTTATATCCTTCAACATAAACAATTTTAAGGAGAGTTTCTATCTTACACGGATTATTTATTTATTTATTTTGTCTTGGAAATTAACACCCACACATGCACTTGAATGCACTTGAAAAGACTCAAACTTTTATCTTTCACTTTAAAGTTGCAACTTGTATACCTGGCAATATTCAAAGATGAGTCAAGAAATATAAAATAAAAATAATAATAAAAAGGAAAAAAAGAAAAAGATATTTTGAACAATTTTAGGGCGAGTTTCTATTTTACACGAATTATTTATTTATTTATTTATTTTGTCTTAGAAATTAACACCCACACATGCACTTAAAAAGGCTCAAACTCTCTTCCTTTCACTTCAAAAGAGAGAAAGTACCAGTAAGCAACAATTTTTTTTTTTTTTAAAATTATTTTATGGATTTTAATCATTCGATAATTGTAATTTAATTGATGTAAGAAATTGGCTCAAAATCAACTTGTATAACAACATTTCAGAAAATTGTGTAATTGAAATTACATGATTTCAGACAATCATAACTCGAACGCATAGGTAAACGATTATTTTTATTTATGTGTCGAGTTGTGAGTGAACGAAATTATGTAATCTCAGAACATGTAAAAAAATTTCGTAGAATTAAAACTGTCTTTTTGTACCATCAGATCAGCTAAGGTGATATAAACTCTTCTCCTCAAAAAAAAAGAAGAAGAGAGAAGCGGTTCAAGCTCTAAAAAACAGGAACGTAGTGTACGGGCATGTTGCTTAACAACCAAAAACAAAATTCCAAAAACAAAAAGGTCATTTTTCTCATGCTCCATGTCCTCGCATACCCTCCTCTCTTGTGGCATAAAATTTAGAGAATTTAAAATTTAGATCATAACACAACCCTTCAGTGAATGAAATGCCACGAATATGATAACTGACTCATATCCATAAAGAGAATAAAATTAATCTCCTTTTGTCGAATAGAAATGAAGCTCAAAATGGACAAAAATAATGGCACCATTTAACTCTTCATATATAAATAAGGTCACAACAAACCAATAACAAAAAAAATGGTGTTATCGAAAGGACACATACATAGTCAGCAGAAGGAAAAAAATGCCCCCATCAATATCTCTTAGGATTTGACCCATAATTGAAAAACCCAATCCACTATGATTATTTTCTTTACATTATTAATATTTCTTGGGATTGGGCTCATAATTGAAGAACATTAATCACTAAAATAATGTCATATTCAATTTTTTTACATTATTTTTCACCGATAGAAAAAATTAGAAGAATGTGACCGTCGAAATGGTCCAATATAGCTGCTCCAATGTAGTTCACGCAACACTTTTCCATCTCATGGTCCATTTAATTGAGCTTACCTACCAAAACAATATTAAATTATCTTTGTGATCATTCAATTTTAGTGTGGTCAACTGTACAAACCATTCTTTACACCACTTAATCACTTATTGATTCTCTTAATTTGGATTAGAAAAATGAAGCAGAATTTGGAAAGAACAATACTTTGTGATATAGGACTCGGAATCGTGTAAGCTAGTGGATTAGACTACTACTCTTTTCAACGACTCTCTTCTATTTTTTGTACTCACATAAATTTATCTCTTCTGAGACTTGAATCCCTGACCTCTCTTTGAGAAGTAAAAGACCGATACCGCTAGGCCACTGATTCGTTGGTGACTCTCCTCTTTTCTATGATGGAAAAGTTAATGGAACCAGTTTCCTTTAGCATTTGTACCAAGATTCCTTTAAAATGAGGGGTCGGTCAACCTATTGGAGTATGATATAATTATTTACGACAGAGTTTTTCCTTTTTCTAATCTTTACTATCTTGATCGTCGAAATGTACTATGCCAGTACCACATCATTAATTGATCATATTTGTGGATAAATTAATCAATCAAAAAAATTAGACAAGTTGACATAATCACCTCATCTAGGTTATTTAAAAAGTTAAATCACAACTTAATCAACTGTTAGCTTCTGTACCGCATAACTCACACATAGGGATGGCAATGGGGGCGGTTTTGGGCGGGGTGTACCCTCTCCTACTCTCGTAACCGTTTAGAAACCCTTACCCCATCCCCGCCCAAAACGGGGGCCTTTCACCCCATCCCCGCCCCGTTTAACTTTTTCACCCCGCGGGTACCTGCCCTGCCCCGTTTAATTCCAGATTTCTCTTTCATTTTTTATTTTTTTCCTTCAAATACAATTATACAACTATTGAAAAAATCTATAAAAAATGGGTAATCAATAATTTAACATAAAATTCAAGGGTATGAGCGTTTTTAGTTTTTAGGGTTCTTCTGCTCTCTAGAGCGAGTGAAAAAAATGAGTGAATATGATCTAAGGTTTCTAAAGCTAATTATATATACTAATAAAATACGGGTAACTTAGTAATTTACCTACCTAAAAGGAGCGGGGCAACCTCTCCCGCCCCCGCTCTCGCCCCGAACCCGCACAAGTTTTTATTAGTGAAAATCATCCCTGCCCAAATAAGTTAAATGATCCCCCAAAATTGCTATAAATGGGGCGGGGTGGGGCGGATACTCGTCTCCGCAGGTCAAATTGCTATCCTTACTCACACACATCATTCTAGGTCGTGGTAGAATCTTGCCAAAAAAAAAAAAAAAAAAATTCCCGGTAAAAGGATAAGAATGGAAAGAACAATAGTTGCCTCCATGGCTTCTACCAAAAATTTCAGTATACATTATTGAAATATGAGCAAATGTTGCTAATTTTTCCATTGAATATGTGCTGAGACTATTTAAATTTTTTTTTTTATTTTTTTATTTCTTAATTGATACTTAGACATCTCTCTTAAGGAATTATTTAATCCTAAGAGGTTTCAAACATTAAACCTGATGCTTCCTGAAGGACTACAACCAGTGCGAATTTCTTACTCACTTGAGCCAAGTAGCTAACCCATTGGGAGTAATTTTTCCTTTTATTTTTTACAAAATCTATTGTAAAACATAAATAAATAACTTCTATTTCTTTCATAAAATTTAACAATTTTGGGGGTCATTCTGAATCAATTATTGGGTCAAGGTCAAGGATAAAGTATTGATTGCAAAAAGATTGAAGAAACTTTCTTGACCATTTCTATGTCTCTTCACCTCTCAAGTTGGGAAATTGCTTTTTCGACTAATGAATTAAATAATTCCAAGTTGGAAAATGTTGTAAGTTAGGCATTTTTGAATA